GAAATGAATTCAACTAATCTCATGAGAACCTATCAATCAATTCTTTTGCTATAGAATAGATAAGATATAATTATTTGATTTTATTTTATCATTAAGGATGTGGTGGTAGTCCACGATATCTTAATCGTCTTTTAGCAAATCGTGCTGGTGATCTTCGACGTGTTGAAATTATAAGTGTTAATCCACTGGATGATACATTTACTAATCCTGAATTAAAAGATAGTTTTTTCAATAATAGTCTTTTTGCATCATCTTTTGTTCGATCATCAATAACGAATGGTGCTGCATCATATATTCCGACATTTTTAAATGAAATGCCTCGTCTTTTCGATGAAAATATTCTTCCACTTGATGCTGCTTTAATTCAAGTTTCACCGCCAGATCAACATGGTTATTGTTCACTTGGTATTTCAGTTGAAGTCACACAAGCAGCTATAAGAAATGCTAAAAAAGTCTTTGCTCAAATCAATCGTCATATGCCACGAGTACATGGTGATACATTTTTACATATGAATGAAATTGATGCTTATGTTGAATATGATGAACCATTGATTGAATTGAATTATTCAAAACAAATTACTCAAATAGAAAGAAAAATTGGAAAAAAAGTAGCAGAATTAATTGATGATCGAAGTACACGTAAGTTTCATTGACCATTAAAAAATTAGATTGTTAAACTTCAAATATCGAGGATATTTTTATATTTCTAGTTCAGTTAGGTATTGGACCAATTCCAAACTCTATTTTAACGTGTCTTGATAATCATAAAGATTTGAGTATAGCAACAGAAGTATTATCAGATGGTGTTATACCATTATTAGAAAATGGTGTTATTACAAATCGATATAAACATTTTCATCCAGGTAAAACCACATGTACATTCATATTGGGAACAAAGAAATTATATGATTTTGTTAATGATAATCCAAATGTTCTTTCATTGGATGTTTCGGTTACAAATGATCCTGCTCAAATTCGTCGAAATCCACGAATGTGTGCAATTAATTCTGCATTAGAAATTGATTTAACTGGACAAATTTGTGCTGATTCATTAGGAACAATGCAATATTCAGGTGTTGGTGGACAAATGGATTTTATGCGCGGTGCTGGTTTAAGTAAACATGGAAAACCTATTATTGCATTACCTTCACAAACACCAAAAGGTATTTCACGTATTGTTAACACGGTATGTTTAATTTAGTATATATATTTAACAAGAATGAAAAGAAATAATCTTTTTTATACAGTTAAAACCAGGTGCTGCAGTGACGACAACACGAGCTCATGTTCATTATGTTGTAACTGAATATGGTGTCGCAAATTTATTTGGAAAAAATTGTCAACAAAGAGCAAAAGCATTGATTGAATTAGCTCATCCAAATCACCGTGAATCGCTAGAACGTGCTGCATATAAACGTTTCAAAGCGTTGTATTAAAATATGTTAAATAGGAAATGTATATTTGATTGTTAATGTTTTAAGAAATAAAAAAAAAAAAAATCAACGTTAATATTCCAAAACAGTAATTTACTTTAGCATATATATCTGCTATTATAATATTATGTCATACAGTAGCTCCATCTATTAATTTTAAATAATCTTAAACTAATTTAATACTTCATCAAAAATCAAAAACTTCAAATATTTGTTATATATTTTTATTTATTTGAAAAAATATTAATAGATATATTCTCATTGACTTGTCATTTATGAACAAAGAGCGGTAATAGAATTGGTTCATTAAAATTTCTCTCTTCTGTTTAATAATCTATTCTATCAAACAGTCACTGTCTTTATTTTAAGCATGACAAAACCAACTATTGCTGAACTTCAACATGAATTTGATAAACGTTTAAAATTGTACAATGGTACAAATGAAGTTTCGGATCTTTGGTTACCGTATGTATACATTTATTAATATCGAATAAGATTTTGTTCAATTATTTCTTTCAAAGATATCTAGCTGCTATACAAGATGTATTACCTGAAGATAATAATGGTGAAAATACATTAGCTAATAATCAAATTCTTTATCCAATATGCTTAAAATGTCTTGAAAAATTTGAAAATAATTCTGAACAAATTAAGAATAAACATTTTGCTGAAATTTGTCTTTTAATTGTAAGTTTTCGTATTGATATTCTATTTGATATAGAATTTTATTTTTTTAGCCTGAAATGTCTGTAGATAAAGGATTATGGTATGGATTATTTTATAAAAAACAAATCGGTGTTAAATATGCACATTTATGGATTGATTGGGCTGAATATACTGAAGAAAATGAATTAAATTGGGCTGGTGCATGGGGAATCTATGAAGAAGCAAAGAAGTTTGTTATTGATCATAATGAATGTGCTGAAATTGATAAAGCGTATCGGTATGTTTGTTGAAAAAATACTTTTTTTTATAAAATAATGATTCTTTTCAGTGCTTTTGCTGATCGATTTCAAGAATGGGATAAAAACGGTATGTATAATTAATAACTTAAAAGAAGTAATCTATTAACGTAATATTTTTATTAGAATATGAAAAGGAACAGTCGAAAGTAAAACCAAAAAATCGAGCAACTGTAACAAAACGAAAAACTCAAACACGTAGTTCATTCGAAATAATGATGGCAAGTGAACCTAAAACAAAACGATCACCAATACGTGCACAAGCTAGTCTTGAAAGCGATGATGATCCCGATTGTCAATTATTACCTGAATGTCGTGAAGCTGTTCGTCTTGAATATTCTCGGTAAAACTTCTCGTGTTTTTTTAAAACACAAAAATTACTTTTTCTTCTATCAGTATGCTTGATATGTCAAATACAAGTTTAATGGGTGGTGAACGTGTTAGTTGTATTCCAAGTAATATACGACGTGGTTCAATTGTACCACCATTAATGAATATATTTACAATTGATCAAGTACTTCGTCGTCAATCACAAGTACCAATAAATGATACATTGGATGAAAATTTTCTTGATGTGTCTTGTATTGTTGTTGATGAACGTGATCCATTTGATGATCATATACGAAGACAAATACTTGATAAACGTGGAATTAATTATGCGATAATGGAAAATTATTCTGTTGAAAAAACAAATTTACCAACAGTTTTATCTAAAAATAAAATTGGAACAAAAATTGAAAAAGTTAAATTAGGTATGAAATATTGTATAATAAGATTTTAATTTCATATATGAATTTTCTTCTAGGTGGAACAAATTATGAATTTGGAAAAAAATTAGGCGAGGGTGCTTATGGTTACGTTATTACAGCTCGATTAGAATCAGATCCAAAAGTAACATATGCTTGCAAGGTAATCAGTATTTTTTTTGTTGTTGATTTGAATATTATGTTTTATTCCTTGTTCAGATTCAACATCCACCGACTGTATGGGAATTTTATATTCTTACTGAATTATCTCGACGTACAATTCGTAAAGCTGGTCAATTTGATCTCGTATGTTATTTCATTTTTTTGTATATTTATGTTTTATTGATTTTTCTTCTTTAAGAATCAACGAATTCCGACTGTTTATCGTTTAATTGAATATAATGATTATAGTGTTATGCTTATGCAACGTGCTCCTCAAACTTTACTTGTATGTTACAATAATCTCTAAGATAAATAGAAATTTTGATGTAGATAAGACTTCGTGACTTGTTCTTTGACTACGTTACTAGACAATAGTTAAAAACGAATGTAATGTTATCATAATAATAATCTTCTTTTTATTTCTATAGGATTTTGCTAATTATCATATTAGTCGTGATCGGTATGTTCCATTGTGCTATCAACTTTATTATTCGATTGAAATGTTACGTATTTTCGATTACATGCACCGATTACGTATTATTCATTGTGATGTAAATCTTTCATTTAAAAAAATATGTTATTATTTAATAATTTTATTTATTTCTACAGGTAAAACCAGATAATTTCATGGTACTTCACTGGTAAATATAGATTACCGTCTTGTTTTCTCTTTTTCTATAATAATCTTATTTTCTAGTCCAACAACATTTTCAACTAAAAAAGCTAGTTGTGCACCGATTCCATCATTAATGTTAATTGATTTCAATCGTTCAATTGACTTAAAATTATTTGATAATGGTACAGCATTTGTAACATGTGTACCGAAAAAAGAATTAGCTTGTGTTGAAATGTTAAACAATCGCCCTTGGATTTTTCAAGTAATTTGATTTGTAAAAATTTCATTGAAAATATTTTTGTTATTGAAATATTTAGCATGATTTATTTGGTATGGTTTATTCGATTCATGTACTTGTTTTTCTTAGTTATATGACAGTATGTGAAGATGAACAACGACAAGATGGTTCAATGACAACAAAAGCGAAATTTTCAAAACGTATACATGATATATGGAAAGAATTTTTCTATGAATTTCTTAATATACCGGATTGTCAACATTTACCCGATTTAAATGCATGGGCTGATCGTTTAGAATTATTATTATTCGAAGAAGCTAAACGTATTAAATCGAAAGATACAGATTATGCAAGTATGTTTCGAATGAAACTTGATACACATCTTAATCAATTTCAACCGCCACCACCACCGACACCAGCACCAACAAGTTAAATGATGTACTTCAAGATTTATTAAATATATATATTTAGATATCAATGTAGATTATAATATTTTCCTTTTCTTATATATATATATATACATATGTGTATAAATAAAAAATATATAATTAGATTTGTGTATTGTCATTGAAATAAATTTTATTTTGATTGAAAATGAATTACAATCGGGACTTTTTAAAGCGAGTAATCATTTGCACTCCATTGTATATGAGACATTTTTAATAAGTAGGTTAAACTTAAAATAATAAATCACAGAATACATGTGATAATAAGAATGTTGTTATAATCATAAATAGAGTAAAAAATAAGAATCGAACGCACTTTATCCATTTCCAGCTGATATATTCTCTCATAAAATGTTTTGTGTAAATTTTCAAAAAAAATCATATCATAAAAAATTATATGGCTGCAAGATGTATTTTAGTTTTCTTGCTATTCATATTAGCAATTAATCTTTCGTATCAATATAATAATACTAAATTTCCTCCACTTAATTTATATATTGGTACAGATGGTGATGGGTTTGGTGCAGGTTCATTACCATTAGGTGTTCAAAGTCCATATGGTGCTCTTCGTTTAGGTCCAGATACTAGTAATACCATGGATATACCAATTGTATTCAATCATTTAGCTGGTTATCACTATTCTGATTCACATATAAATATCTTTTCGCATACACATATGTTTGGTGCTGGTGTAGTTGATTATGGTGAAGTTGGTATTATGCCTGTTCAAATAGATAGTATTAAACATTTACAAGCAATGATTTCTAAACGAAATGGTTATCGTAGTGCATTTCAACATGAACGTGAAGTTGTTGAACCAGGTTATTATCAAGTTTATCTTGATACACATAAAATAAATGTTGAATTAACAGCTACGGAACAAGTTGGTATACATCGTTATACATATGATAAAATTAAAAATAAACATCATGTTATACTTATTGATAATAGTTATACATTACAAGCCAATGTATGTACTGAAAGTCATGTTAAAATCGATTCAATAAATCATGAGCTAAGTGGTTTAATTCATTTTGATGGTTCACTTTCAGGACGTTTTGGTGGCGTAACAACATATTTCGTTATTACATTAAATAATTTGACTCAATTTGGTACATGGAATCATGGACAAATAACCGAAGGGCAAACTGAAATAGATGGATGTTCATCAGGTGCTTATATTATATTACCTGATGAGCAAGAACAAGTAACAATGTATGTTGGCATAAGTTTTGTTTCTATAGAACAAGCACGTACTAATTTAAAAATACAAACAAATACTCTTCAATCATTCGATTCTATGCGAACAATTGTACAACAAAAATGGCTTGATGAATTAGCAAGATTTGAAGTAATTAAATAGAGTTTAAACTTATTTTCTTTCTATGTGTATATAGGTTAGTGCTGATTGGGATCGTGATGCTGAAATAAAATTCAATACTGCTATTGTCCATTCATTATCAAGTCCAACAATATGGGATGAATCAAATGGTGTTTACCTTGGATATGATGGTAAAGTTCATACAAAACCTGATTATATGCAACATGTTTATACTGATTTATCCATATGGGATATACATCGTACACAAATACCATTTATTAATTTTCATGATGCACAACGAGGTAATGATATTATACATTCAATTATGATTAATGTTGAACAAGGTGGTGATTTACCAAAATGGCCTTTAGCTAATGGTTATACAGGTTGTATGTTTGGTTCACATGCTGACGTTCTTATCAGTGATTTAATTATGAAAAAAGAAAATGATAATAATTTAGATTTAAAAGAAGTTGTTCAAGCTTTAAGAAAAGTTGCTAATCAAAACCAAGTACATGATAGTCGATGGGATCCAGCAACATATATTCAATATAAATATGTTCCATATGATATGGAAAAAACTTCAGCACCATTAACAATAAGTTATGCGTATGATGATTGGGCTATTGCAAATGTTATGAATGCTGCTGGTTTGGTTGATGAAGCTAAAGAATATTATGAACGAGGAACATGGTTTGAACATGTTTTTGATAACAAAACAAATTTCTTTTGTCCAAAAGATAAAGCAGGCAATTTTCATTGTCCATCAAATGAACTTGAATTTCTCGATCCATTTGATAAAAGATATATAGAAGGTGATGCTTGGCATTATCGATTTTTTGTACCCCATAAAGATTTGTTAAAATATCATGTGAACACTAAAGATTATGTAATCTAGTAGATTTTGAGAAGGCAATACTGTTTCTACAAATTCTAAATCATTAAGAATATCATTTTATATACATAGCGAAAACGATGCCTTACTGAATAGGAAATATTTTTTTTTCGTTCATTGATAATCAGAACATAGGAAAATACTTAAAGTACTTGTGTTCGTACCTCAAGCATTAATCACTTGAAAATTTTTCAATAAAATCTTTGTTGTATTCAATTGGTGTCATATATAACATATTTCGAACCCTTAGGCGATGAAAACAAGTAGATGATTTTTTTCCTACTGTTTGATTATATATAAAAACTACTATGCTACGATAGTATTGAATGTAAATTTTAAACGAATCATACTCGAAAAATAGTTCGTAAATGTCAAACTTTGATGATCAAAAAAACAATTTATCTCACTCAATTAACTGTCAATCGAAATTTGATCTTTTGAAGCTTGAAATACACAGTTAAACTATCAAACAAGTCATTAAAATAGTTAATTTGATAGAATTATATATGGTTTATGATATGTGTGATTTTACATAGTTTTATCAAAAAGGCGAGAAAAATATTTACCAACAAAGAAACAGATGACTATATGTATAAAGATAATAAAAACAAGATAACAGAAGGAACACCTACTAAAAATAAAAGATAACTTATCGATTTAAATGACGTTTAAACTCAACACATATATATATATATCTTTTTTTTTGAGACAATCATATCCAATGATTAATGACTCATTCATTTATTTTCAAATGATATCATAACTGAATAATCTTGAATACTTCACGTTTGATAGAATTATTTGGTGGTCGAGATAATTTTATTAAAGAATTAACTATATTTTTTGAACGTGGACAACCATGGAAAACAACATTATTACCTAATCCATATTATTGGCCAGGTAATGAACATAATCTTTTTTCCGTTTGGCAATTTAATTATGCTAATCGTTCTGATTTAACACAAAAATATGCACGTTGGTTATTAAATCATGCTTATCCAAATGCGCCTGATGGATTACCAGGTAATGATGATTATGGTACAATGTCTGCATGGTATATATTTACAAGTATGGGTTTTTATCCACTTTCTGGTTCATCAACATATTTAATTGGTAGTCCAGCATTTGATCGTATAAAAATCTCACGCAATAATGGTAAATGTAATTTATTAATCAATGTTCATAATAATTCTCCAACAAATCTTTATGTTCAACGTGTATTACTTAATAATGAAACTTTATCAACATTTCCATTCATCGATCATATAAATCATTTTAAATGTTCAAATGATAATCAATCAACTATTCAACTAGATTTTTTTATGTCATCAACTCCTGTTTTTTCTCTCGATAAATAAAGACACACGAATCAAAAAAAAAAA